ACCGCACAATGAGTGGGCAACCAGCATTCAACTTCGCGGCTTGGCCCCTGGAATGCATCGATCCTACCCTGTATCATACGTCTGGAGGTCTTGTTGATCATGGCCTCTTTCGGAGGGCTGCTGCACCCCGCGAGGGTTTTTGGGTTCGAAAACTTCGAACGCTTCACCCAGTCGGTTTCAATGCAGTCCTTCCAATGGCTATATTGCCATCTCCACGGCGGCATTTACGTCCTTCCCGATAGACACAAATGGGCCCTCAGCTGTTCGTTCCGCAATCCCCTTTTGCTCAGCCCTCACCTGCTCCACCTATTCCTGCATCAGCTAATCCTCCTCACACATCACCCCTTTTGCCGACACCCGCTGGCTCCCATGTTGCACCTCTTTCGCCAACACCCTCTCGGCCTTTGCCTCTCCTCCCAACGCCTTCGCCTCCGTCATTTGCTATTGATCTTCGTCCAGGTCCCCAACTCATAATTTGTACCTCACTCCATTGCCTTCTTCATGAAGCTGCTTCGGGTAACTGGTGTCGTGTCAAGGCTGACATTGAGCGGGCACAACCAGCATGGCGGGCACGACTTTTGCAATGGCTTGATAACAATGTTTCCAATGAGGACATGACAACAGACATTCGAGAACTCGAATGCCTCATCCGAAAATCCCAGTATACCCGCCAACGTTACACAGCACAACCACGTGACCCGTTTACTGACCATATTAAGGTCGTACATGTGCATGAGGTAGTTCGTGCCACGAACTTGCGCCATGTGTTGCAGTTGCCAGAAGTAGCTGCATTGCACCCTGACCCGCAAGTGGCCGCACATGTTCGTGTATGTGACAAGTTGATGCCACCCACACGTGTCCAATCTTGCAACTTTACTGATGTGGCATTGAGTGTTGCTCCTGACATGACCTTACCAGACTCCTTGAACTGCAAATGCCGCAGGGCCTTTCCGCATTGTTCAGATCTTGTGGACGGCCATGTTGTCTCTGTTGATTACAATATCATCTCAGACGATAACCTTCGCAAGCTTTTTCAAGAAGGTTCTAAATATCGTTTGAACGGGGAGACTGCTGATGTGCTCCAAGCACTGGCAATCGGACTCGATGAGTACAATGCCAGTTACAAGAATACATTTGCTAGACACTCTCGACGTGCTTCTTTCTCGTCCCTTTCTCAGAAATTGCACAGCTGGCGTTCTGCAATCCTTGGGCATTGTCAATCCAATGCGACTTCGTCTTCCAATCATGTGAGCCAACAACATTCACTTCGTTGTGCACATGCCTCCTTACGCCATCTGCAACAACACTTTGCCATTGTYCCTGTGGACAAATCATCCCACAATTTGTTAATTTGTTGCAAGAATTGGTATTTGTTTCACCTCTCTACCCATTTGGACAGTCCCACTTATACTCGTCCTCATGAATCCGTCGCTGATGTGCTCAACCACCATGCACTATGGAATCACCATTGGGGTTATACCCACACTGATACCCTGCCTTACCTATACTATGTGTTGAAAGCCCACAAGTCTCCTCCAGCTCTTCGCAGCATTCTTGGAGTCACAACACAGAATACGTGTCCTGTCCCCCCACGCACTCGCTCTCGTCCTTCWATTCGCACCATTCATGAACGACCTCCTCACAAACCCTTGGCTAGCACAACGGCTACTTCGTCCTGTCTCAGCACTGCTTTGCAAGGCGTGATCTCTACTCTTCGTGAGAGAGACACTGAGATCTATCAACAGGAAGGTGTTCGACGGTGCTGGATCGTCCAGAGTGCCGATGAGGTGGCGATTGACCTGAAAAACAATGTGTCCTCTCTACGTGGCCTCTCTCCTCGCACGGTTGATTTCACCACAATGTACACCAACCTTCCTCATGACCGCATTTTGAATAATGTGGCAAAGGCTGTTGATGAAGCTCATGCTTATGCTCTTCAGCATACCCGCATGCATTCGCGCTGCAGAGCCTTGAACATGTTCATTCGCGGGCCTTGCTCTGGCCAATGGACAACCGATTCAGGACCAGACAGCCTTTCCGTTTCTCAGATTCTCCAACATCTTCGCTTTGTTGTAGAAAACGCTTTTCTGTACACTAGAGATGGCACTCTTCGAAAGCAAATCATTGGTATTCCAATGGGAACAAATGCTAGCCCAGAAATTTCCAATCTAACGCTCTATTGGGATGAAGCACG